TTCCTCTAACGCGTGGAACTGTCACCCCAAAATGACACTGCCCAGGCCAGGTGCTCTCTGCAGCAGGATCGACGGCTGGGTTAAGGGCACGGGGAATGAAATAGAACAATAATCAACTGGCATTTGCCGAGGGGAAAATCCCAGGTGCGAAGAAGCTCTCGTGTCTCAGTGGACGCACAAGAGCCCCCCCCCCCACCTGACTCATGTTCTGAACAGAGCTCCACTTCCCTGCTGCCCCCAGTCCCTGGGAAGAACCAGACCAATGCTGACAGTTGCTTCAGTGCTCACTGTGACGGGGCGCTGGGGTTTTTCCGTCTCCTGCACCCCCGTAACAGCACAGACAGACTCCACCAGCCGGTAGAATAGAGGGAGTTTATTGCTTCTCCAGGATACAGCATAGCATAGATGTAATCTGGTTCCAGGGCAGGCCTAGGATGCCTCAGCTCCCCTTGAGATGGGGGAGACTGGGCCCCTAAATCCCAGCCCGTTGCCTAGGCTACTTTCTCCATGATCCCAGACAGAAACTAACCAACTCACTTCCAGCCCTGCCCCCAGCCAGGGCTCCATTCCCCTTCTTCCCATTGTTCTGCTCCCTGGGAGATAACTGGTCAGACAGGTTCGAAGCCCCCTTGCATAATGACTCATCCCCTGCCCTGCTGGGTCGTGCTGCAGCCAGTGAAGGTCACTCACAACCCACTGCCCAGCATAGCAACCAGCAAGGTACCCCCCGCTACGACACACTCACACAAACGCGTTTACACCCCCAGGCACTTTGCTCACTATGAATCAGACCTAGCCACCGCCGCCGAGCTGCCTGCTGCACTAGCCCCATTCAGCAGATGGGAACGAGAGTTGCCCAGGGTGACAGAGCAAAGCCTGTGGCTGAGCCGAGGCAAGTACCCAGGAGTCAGGGCCACTAGACAGTACTCCTTCACTGCTGCACATCCCTTTTGTGCCACGAAGCGGGAGCCAGCGCCAGCTCGGCACTACCTTCCGCCCACTGGCGTGTTCTCCTGACTTCCACCCCCACACTTGCTCGGAGCCCGAAAGGCGGGTTTAGAAATGGCAGCCCCACGGGTTCAACTTCAGAGGAGGCTATGACCAGGGCTGTTTCCTTTACTTGCCACCTGACAAAGGCACCAGCTCAGTCTTTGAAGGGCTGGTGGCTTTGTAGGGTTCCAAGCCACGCCCCCAAACCCTGAATGGAGGGCCAACGAGCCATTCCGGGATATCTGATTCTGCACAGCGCCCGTCACTGCAGTGTCTGGGCACGTGGCACACAGACACGGCGCTTTCCCCACGCGTGAGAAGCCTCTGGACCCTTCTCAGTGACACGGCTCTCAAGGGCCAGTGCCTGTCTCTCTCCTGCACTTGGGCACATTCTGTTTGGCGTCTGATTAACTTTCATTTGACTCCTTCCGCAGTGGCCTGCCTCAAAATGAAAGCTCGCACTGATCTCGCTTTAATTGGCCTGACATTTCACTAAACAAACAAAATCAAAAAAATGAAAGAAAACAAAGAACCCGTCTCACATTTAATTGGCTGTAGCGCTTTGGCTACCTATTCACTGGAGCCGCTTCAAAGGCTGTTGCGGGCTCCCAGACACGTAAGAGCACATGCATATTAAGGTGATGGGCTATTCAAGTCAGCGAGCAACCTGTCCTGGGATGCAATTACCCACCAGAGCGGGGACGAGGCGACAGGTCAGCCTCTGGATAGCTCCATGCAGTCATTCGGGATTAGCCGCCTGGGCTTTGTACCTGCCTTTTATTCAAGGGGTTTGTTTGAAGTTGCTCTTTTCAATTCATCAATCCAGGGCAGAAATTAACACATGTGAGGAGAGGCGGAGAAAGACGCGAGGAAGGGGCTGCAGAGCCAGTCTGTTCATTTCATTTTTCCAACCAATTTCTAACGTTTGCGCCCTGGCTAGGAACGCACAAGCACTAGTGACCCAGCTGGGGCAGACTCCTGTTCATGGTGCAAAGAAAACCTTGGTGCAAACAGACTCAGGAGAGGCTGACTCACTCCATTTAAAGCTAGTGGAAATAATCCTCCAACGCCTCCCACCCTGAGCACAGCCACATTCAACGTTCTGTCCCATGGGTCGGGCCTGGAGCCGTCAGTGGGTCGCGCCCAGGCCAGTCCCAAACATGCCATCGTAAGGGTCCGCTCCGACGAGCTCTTCACAGGAGTCACTTTACTCACAAGTGGGCCCAGGGACGTGCGTGAGACTCGCTCACAAGTGCTCTTTCTGCATGAAGGGCTTTACACCCACCTGGCCGGGGGAAGATGAATCTTTAATAACAGACTCAGCAAATGACACATCCTGAAGCCCTCACTTGGGCAAAGCTGCCATCGACTCCACCAAGAGCTCCGTCTGTGCAAGGACTAAGGGGAAGTCTGGATCGCACATGGTTAGGCTGTGAAGACAGCCTCTCCCTGGGTATGTCTACACTACCACCCTAGTTCAAACTAGGGGGGTTAATGTAGTCATTCGAAGTTGCAAATGAAGCCCGGATTTAAATATCCCGGGCTTCATTTGCATCTTGCTGGGCGCCGCCATTTTTAAATCCCCATTAGTGCGGACTCCATGCCCGCGGCTACATGCGGCATGGAGTAGGTAGTTCGAATTAGGCTCTCTAATTCGAACTACTGGTACACCTCGTTCCACTACTGGCGATTTAAAAATGGTGGCGCCCGGCAAGATGAAAATGAAGCCGGGCTTCGAATGACTACATTAGCCACCCTAGTTCGAACTAAGGTGGTAGTGTAGACGTACCCCCACTGTGGCTCTCAGAGCATTTTACAGGTTGAACCTCCCTAGTCCAGAACACGCTGGTCCAGAAACATCCGTGGTCTGGCATGATTTTAGTCAGCCACACGCCCACTTTTCATGGGGTGGCCAAGTGTCCTGGGGTCCCTTACAGTTTGTTTACAGCCACCAGGCCTGGCTCTCCGGGTTCTGTGCTGCTCTTTGGCTCTAACGTGTCCCTAACTGTCTTTGAGAGCCCAATGAGCAGCGGCAGTGTGGGCAATGCTGGACAATAGTGACCTCCCGTGGTCTGGCAAATTCTCTGGTTCGGCACCGGTCAGGCCCCAGGGTGCCAGACTAGCGCGGTCCAGCCTGTCCGTGCATTCGTGAGCTTGCTAAAGTCATTCTGCAAGGGGTCAGCACGGGTCCTCCCTCGGCAACGGACCTGCACAGCTGCTCCCGCATGCACAGCAACGCTACAAGCTTGAAAGGCCGGAAGCACCTCGGCGTGAAATTGGGTGAACCCGCTGCAGCCCCGCGTGACACTGCTTCACGGCGCGGCAATAAAGCCCCCAACATCAGCTGCTCGGCAGCGGGGCCGTGGCACAAGTTTAACGCGTGACAGCAGCGAGCCTCCAGAGTCATGAGCACAGCTGGGATCTTCTTCGTCTGCCTCCAGATTTAAGCGCTCGCAACACAAAGAACGAATGAGAAGGAGCGGGAGGTTATCTACTGCGCCGACAGCAGCGAGAGGCATCCAGCGCGGCGCAGCGCGAACAAGGTGTCTGACAACACGGCCAGGCCCATGCGCGGCTGCGGCGAGTTAGCAAAGCTGTTTCCCTTCCTCCGTCCCCTGGATGATGTAGATTGATTGCCCGGTTTTATTACAGACAAAGTGTTTTTTGATAGTGTAAGGGAAGCAGTTCCCTGGGGGGTAGGAATCAATCCCTCTTTCAGCTCTCTGCATTGATTGCCAGGCCTCCGCCGAGGCGGGAAGGGCTTTGCATGCGATAAAGCCTTTCCGAATAGAAAGGAGGGAGCTCTCTGATGGCACGGCCCTGAGCCGGCTGAGACGCCCCGCTCCCGGCACCAGGGGCCACGCACGAGTAAAGGGGCCACAGCAGGCTCTCTGGAATCTGAGCCACCTGGACCCCAAACCAGAGGGGGAGATGCAGTCCTGGCGCTCTGTAGGGGCCCTTTTCTCCCCCACTAACACCACTGGCCCTGTCACCCCCAGCGAATTACACCCGGCATCATAGGCACTGCCAGGATGGCGCCACGATGCCTTTCCTCGGACGTTCGGCTCGCGGGTGCCCCTTGCTGCGGGCACGGCTGAGCAAACATTTGACATTTCGAGGACGTTCTGGGCCACGGTTTCCCACAACTGGAAGAGTTTTCTGTGAAAAACGGGCTCCCGTTTGGCGCACGGCTCCGCTCCTGGAGCCGGCCCCCGTCTGCTACCAAAGATCACG